TCCTACATAAAGCACACCATTAAATACCAACTGTGCTGGTCTTTTGGTTTTTTTTTTTTTTTTTTTTTGAGAAGAAGTTATTGGGCCTAGTTTATTATCATTTTCTTTGATAGACACTATTAGAAGTTACAGGCTGGAATAAAGATTGAGTCCCTGTCAGTGTGTAATGGTAGGGTTGTTCTTTAATCAAAAGATCAAACAGATAAGCGATTGTTGTTGTTGTTAGGTGCTGTGGAGTCCATTCCAACTCATAGCGACCCTGTGTACCACAGAACGAAATGCTGTCCAGTCCTGTAACATGCTTGCAATCGTTGTCATGCTTGAGCCCATTGTTGCAGCCACTGTGTCATTCCATCTTGTTGAGGGTCTTCTTCTTTTTCACTGACCCTGTACTTTGCCAAGCATAATGTCCTTCTCCAGGCACTGATCCCTTCTGACAACATGTCCAGAGTATGTAAGACATAGTCTCGCCATCCTTGCTTCTAAGGAGCGTTCTGGTTGTACTTCTTCCAAGACAGATTTGTTCGTTCTTATGGCAGTCCATGGTATATTCAGTATTCTTCGCCAACACCACAGTTCAAAGGCGTCAGTTCTTATTTGGTGATAAGTGATTAGCATATCATAATTTAATAGTGTACAGATAAAGGATTAAGGGGAAGGCAGGGGCCTGAGGAGTCAATTTAACAAAGGAAAAAAAAAGATGTTTGATAAGATTGAGATTGTACTTCAAAGATAATTTAGAGTGAAAGATTTTATTTCATGATTTCTTTCTGTCGGGTGAGAGAGATGTTGCAGGTTTTGAAGTAGTGAATTTGGACAATATTTATATTCTGGGCACTACATTTTAGGAAGAATGAGAAGCTAGAAAGGGGTCTAGAGAAGTATACCAATCTGAATAAGGGGTGGTCATATGGCATCTGTGAGGAAAGATTAAAAGGACTTGACATTAACTGAGAAGTGTTTTCAAGAATAAGAAGTAATAACTTTAAGAGCTTGCCAAAAAAAATGTTCATGAAGAAGAAGATAAAATTTTGCAAGAGACATACAGATTATACATGAGGAACATTGTCCTAAACATAAGGTTTATTAACCGTAACAGCATTCTACGCATGTTGTTGTTATTGTTAGTTGCCATTGACTCAACTCCAACTCACAGCAACCTTGGGTACAACCAAGTGAAATGTGGATTGCTCCTGCGTCATCCTCACGATTTTTTGGCGCAGATCTCCAGGCCTTTCTTCCTAGTCCATCTCAGTCTGGAAGCTCCACTGAAACCTGTCTACTGTGGCTGACCCTGCTGGTATTTGAAATACCAGTGACATAGCTTCCAGCATCACAGCAACACGCAAGCCACCACACTACAACAAACTGACAGACAGATAGTGGATGCTACACATACAGGTGTAGAATCTCCCTCCTTTGAGATCTTGGAAGTAAGTAGTTTGTTAGCAGTTTATTAACAATTTTGAAACAAGGGACAAAATCACTACATTAAGAAAGGCTCTTAATTATTTTAGTTCATTTAATTTTTAATAGAAGGATACTGAAAGGGAGTATGGATGTTAAAAACAGTTGAGTCCTCATTTTGCTGCCATATTCTGCTACTTTCATTAACCGAAAGGAATAAAAATACACCCCACTCAAGGACAATAATAACAGCCAGAATTACACAGGAATGTTGTTTTAGGTGCCGTTGAATTAGTTCTGACTCACAGCAACCTTGTATACAACAGAACAAAACATTAGGGGTCCTGCGCCTTCCTCACAACCGTTGCTATGTTGCTATGTTGTTGCAGCCACTGGGTCAATCCATCTCATTGAGGGTCTTCCTCTTTTTCGCTGACCTTGTACTTTACCAGGCACGGTGTCCTTCTCCAGGGACTGATCCCTCCTGATAACACGTTCAGAGTACATGAGACGAAGTCTCACCATCCTCACTCCTAAGGAGTATTCTGGCTGTACTTCTTCCAAGACAGATTTACTGGTTATTCTGGCAGTCTGTGGTATATTCAGTATTGTTCACCAATACTATAATTCAGAGGCATCAGTTCTTCTGTCTTCTTATTCATTGTACAGCTTTCGCATGCATATGAGGCAATTGAAAATATCATGGCTTGGGTCAGGTGTACCTTAGTCCTCAAGGTAACATCTTTGCTTTTTAACACTTTAAAGATGTCTTTTGGAGCACATTTGTCCAATGCAATGCATCGTTTGATTTCGTGACTCCTAATTCTGTGGGCATTGATTTATGGATCCAAGTTTTATTGGTTATTTTATAGGCCAGTCTATTATTTGGCTGAAAGGTGACCCGTGGGAGTGGCTTCAGACCAATAGTTGTATCTTAGATGGCTGCTCGCAAGCTTTTAAGACCCCAGATGCTACACACCAAACTAGGATATAGAACATTATGCGCTAAGTTATGCCAGTTGACCTAGTTGTCCCACAAGACTATGGTCCTGGGCCTTCAAACCCTAAGTAAATCAATCCCACAAGGTGTTTGGATATGTCTAGGAAGTATCCCTAACTCTGCCCCCTATGTGCTTTATTGTATATATGAATACATATGCAGCACATACAAACATGTATATACATATGCCCACAAATATACCTACATATGCACACACGTGTACTCCTATCCACCTTCCCACACCTATATAGGATACATATCTACCTGTGTAACTACTCACATAATTTTTACTTGTTATTACTGTTGTTGCAAAATTCTGTATGTTATAGCATTTACCATAGCTGTTTTTCAGTCTTGCATATCTCTCAGTGTTTTTATTTACCTTGGTCAAGTTGTACTGACTTCTCCCCTATTATGTTTTGTCTTTCCCATCACTAGAATTAGCACCTGTCTGCTATCTAGTAGGAGCCTTAGTGGCGCAGTTTGAATCCACGAGCTGCTCTGTGGAAGTCCTATGGGGCAGTTCTACTCTGTCTAATAGGGTCACTATGAGTCGGAATCGACTCAAGGGCAATGGGTGGTTTTTTTTTTTTTTGGTTTTTACTACGTAGTTAAAGTGATTCCCCCTACCTTCCCTTCCCATCCCTGCTAACCATCAAAGGGCATTGCTTTGTGTGTATACCTGTTCTTGACTTTCTGTAATGTAGTATCCTGCAGTATTTATCCTTTTGTGTTAGACTTATTTCACTCAGCATAATGTCCTCCAGATTCATTCATGTTGTGAGATATTTTGCAGATTCATCATTGTTCTTTATTGTTGCATAGTATTCCACTGTGTATATGTACCATAATTTGTTTATTCATTCATCTGTTGATGGGAACTTAGGTTGTTTCCATCTTTTTGCTATTGTAAATAATGCTTCAGTGAACATAGGTGCGCATATGTCTATTCATGTGACTGCTCTTATTTCTCTAGGATATATTCCAAGGAGTGGGATTGCTGGATCATAAGGTATTTCTATTTATAGCTCTTTGAAGAAGCACCATACTGTTTCCACAGTGGTTGTACCATTTTACAATCCCACCAGCAGTGTATAAGAGTTCCAATCCCCCCACAACCTTGTCAGCATTTGTTGTTTTCTATTTTTTTGATCAGTGCCATTTTTGCAGGGGTGATATGGTATCTTATTGCAGTTTCGATATGCATCTCTTTAATGGCTAATGATTACAAGCATCTCTTTATGTGTTTGTTAGCCACCTGAATGTCCTCTTTGGTGAAGTATCCGTTCATGTCCTTTGCCTATATTTTGATTGGATTGTTTGTCTCTTTGTTGTTGAGTTGTTGAAGTTTTCTGTATATTTTAGAGATTAGACCCTTGTCAGGTATGTTGTTACCAAAAGTTTTTTCCCAATTTGTAGGTTTTCTTTTTACTCTTTTGGTAAGGTCTTTTGATGAGCATAAGTATTTAATTTTTAGGAGGTCCCAGTTATGTAGTTTATCTTTTCTTGTTTGTGTATTTTTAGTTGTGTTTTATAGTGTATTTATGCCAAAAATTAGGACTTCTAGCTTGTCCCTATGTTATTTTTCGGGAACTTTATAGTTTTAGCTTTAACATTTAGGTCTTTGATCCAGTTTGAGTTAGTTTTTGTGTATGATGTGAGGTATGGATCCTGTTTCATTTTTCTAAAAATGGATATCCAGTTTTGCCAACACCATTTGTTAAAGAGACTGTCCCTTCTCCATTGAGTAAATATTTCATTTTTACTGGCCCTACCGTCACAGCTAAGAAGCCCTGGTGGTGCAGTGGTTAAGCGCTTGGCTGCTAACCAAAAGGTCGGTGGTTCTAACCCACTAGCCACTTTGTGGGAGAAAGATGTGGCAATCTGCTTCTGTAAAGATTACAGCCTTGGAAACCCTATGGGGCAGTTCTACTCTGTCGTATATGGACGCTATGAGTTGGAATCAACTCAATAGCAGTGGGTTACAGTCACAACTAAGGTGTCTACATGGTTTGTAGTCAACTGCCAACCTAATGGTTGGCGTTTCAAACCCAGTTAGTAGCTCCACAGAAGAAAGACCTGACGAACTGCTTCCATAAAGATTACAGCCAAGAAAACCCTATGGAGTGGTTCTATTCTGTAACACATGGAGTCACCATGAGTCAGGGGCCAACTCGACAGCTGCTAATAACAACCATCACAACTACTCGACTCTGCTGTTGTAGCGCAAAAGCAGACTTGGACAATACATAAACAAATGGTCATGGCTGTGTTGCAGTAAAACTGATTTCAAAAACAGGTGGTGAGCTAGATTTGGTCCACAGGCCATAGTTTGTCAACCTCTGTTCTAGTACAATGAGCAGTGTATTAATACGGGGGAACAGCAATTTCTGTTCAGAAGAGTTCTGTAATCATTCACCCAATTACTAAGAGAACAAGACTGGAGAATACAGAGATGGATGGAGTGATGTGATCAGATCTGTGAAAGAGGATTGTGATGGCAAGGTGGAGAATGGATTAGATTGGAAGACCTTGTGGGAGATTGTAGTGCTAGTTCAGACAAGAGGTAATTCATCTGAATTAGGAAAGAGGATGGAGTGGGTGAAAGTGATTCAAGAGGCACCTCAGAGGAGAATTAGCAGGACTTGGCAACTGATTGGACATAGAACATTTAAGGGCTAAGAGTCAAAGATGACTGAAGTTTGTAATACCAGAAAGTTTTAATGGAAATGTGGTCAGAAATTCAGGTTTGAACATAATGCATTTGAGGTACCTTTTAGATATCCAAAGGGAGAAAAATCTCAGGAGAGAAGTTAGAGGTTTGATAGTCAAAGCCATAAGATTGGATATAGTGCAAAAAAGAAAAGGGTCAATATAAAACCTTTTCATTAGTGGGCTGGTGAAAAAAGAAAAGCCAACAAGAGAGACTGTAAAGAATCGGGAAGGAGAACTGTGACTCAAGAGTCACAAAACCCAAAGGAGGAGAGTTCTAGGAAGGGAAAAGTACTCAGGGGCATTACATACTGCAGAGTCAACTGGGAAGAGAATTCAGAAGAGGCTTTCAGATGTGGCCGTTAGGAGGCCATTGTTGACCACGAAAAGAACAATTTCAGTTATAAGTCTTTGTTCATTCATCAGTGGATCTAGTTCTAACAACCGGTAGGGACTGTGTTGCTCTGGGCTTCACAATTTACAAGCCCTTTCCCATAGTCACTGCTGACAAAGGCAGACTGTGCATAGAACCCTGTCTCCAAGCTCAGTGCACTGCCATCCTCACCAGATAGATGTTCAAACTCCAGTCAGCCCAATGACACCTGTAGATGGGCTAACCAACTGGGCAACATGTACTCTAAGAAGAAACCCAGCAGTTTGTTAGTAGCTTCTTGGACAAAAGCTACAACCAACTCTTATCTTTGACCAAAATCATAGTAGACTGATAAAAGGTTATGATCTTGCCTCCGATTTATCTGTTCCACCTAGTAAGCAGGCACAGAAGCCTCTTGCTACAAAAGTGAAATGTGGAAATTCAGAAAATGCCCATTAAGTAAATCAGTCAGGCTGACAGAGTGAGCAGGTTGTCAATTGCTATTAAGTAATAAAACATGTTAAAGTAGATAAGACAAGAAATCTGGAAAACATAAAAGATTATACATAAACCCGTTGCTGTCAAATCGATTCCAACTCATATTGAGCTTATAGGGCAGAGTAGAACTGCCCCATAGGGTTTCCCGGGAGCGGCTGGTGGATTCCAACTGCCAACCTTTTGGTTAGCAGCCAAGCTCTTAACCACTACGCCACAAGGGCTCTCAATTTTAGATGTAAATTACTTTGGAGATAGAAGCAAACCGTAATTCTCTTGAATGAATCATTCATAAAATTATACTAGAACTCAGGTGTTCAGCATTTTTATTGACATAATACCATCAGTCATTATGACTTACAACTTTTCGTTTTTGCGTTCATGACCCTGGTTTCTAGAGACGGTAATTTTAAAGAGAAAACACAGTTTTACATGACTTTCCACAAGTGCTCCATTGGTTTATTAACTTACAGAGGTACATAGAAACTATTATTTATTGTTTTATACCTCACCTTGTTCCAAAGAGGGTTTAAGACCACTTAAAACTCTTAGAAAGTTGGAATCGACTGGATGGCAACAGGTTACAGGTTATAGTCATTTCCATTCTGTGTTAGGGACCGGGGAGTGGAAAAAGAAGTCTTTTCAGTTAAAGAAGAAATATGGGAGAATAAAATAGGTTAAATGCGATCTTGCTGGCTGATTTTCCAGCAGTATAATTATGCAACAACACTTAGGGCTCAAGTGTTAAGAGTAGTCAGGAAATTCTGGCTCCAGATGCCTGAGGATTGCTATCTGTCTGCTTCATCACTTGCTGCAGAAATCTCCAGGCCCCAAGCTGATACTCCTGTCTCCTAACAGACACCAGACCTTGTGTGATTTTTCTATCAGCACTTCCTGCCGCCTGCCAGCTACTTGTCATTTTTACATTTGTAGTCTTCTCGTTCTCTAAAACAAATTTAAAGCAGTCTATTCCTTCTAAGTGTTCATTGAAGGCTCAGTACACATCATTTAGGCAAGTAAAGATTATAGAGTGCTCTACAGCCAACAAAGAATGAAAACTAGCAGAACTGTTAAGCACTTGGGCTTCTTGAGATAAATTACCTAGATTCAAAGCCCAGCCTGCCACTTACTATCTTTGTGACCTTGGAAAAGATGCTTCAATTTTCTGTGCCTCTATTTCCTCATCTGTAAATGAGAGGTGATGCCATATCCCTCAGAGTCATTGTGAAGATTAAAGGATAGAATTAAAGCAGAGAATGAGTATACAGGTAAGTGATCATAGGTAGCACCTGGTGTTAGTTGATACTACAGTCATTATCATAACTGATAAAAAAGACCTATCCAACTGCAATATCCCATTTGAATTTTGCAGTAATGACCTTTTCAGGTACTTAAGTAGTATTATCTCCATTTTATAGATAGACCCTAAAGCTTTGAAGTTCGACTTGCCCAACACAACATAAGCAGTCTAGGCAGAGCTAGGGTTAGAACAGTTACATACAGGCAACACAAATGCATAGTTCCCCCAGGGCTTACAGTTGGAGTGAAAAGATTTCATCTCAGGAGCCAATTCCAAACAGTTGAAGTGACTGCTCTGAAACATGTTGAGAAGGATTTTGAAAGCAAGTCCAAGCTCATTAAAAATGCCTGATTGATTAGCAGTATTTGCCATGAGCTCATACTGCCTTCCCCGCCCCCCGCTTCCTTGCTAAAGTTTCCTTTTTTTCCTCATTACTAAGGATTCTCTTGAACCCTACTTCTTTTGACAAAAATTTTAGGTAAATTTGAGCACATCTTATAATGAAGCTATTAATTTATAGAATCCGTATAGCCTTATAAGTGTACTAGAGAAGCATTACTATTCCTAAAGTGTTTTCTAACCAGGATAGTAGAAAGAGGGGTTCTCTTACAAGCTATTTCTCCCCGACTCTTCACATTTTCTGGTCTCACATACATATGGGCACACAGATTGAGAAATGTGGTGGTCACAATTTACTTCTAATTTGGAGATTACTTCAAGAAGTAATTGAGAACAACCTTACTTTCACTTATTAGCCAAATACTAGTCTCTTGTACTTTGGAAGTCAGAGAAATTGTTTTGGATGGGTCATATAAGTACTATTTAAATATACAAAAGCTAGGTCTCTCTGGAATCAACATACCTGACCTGCCTACTGTGGGCTTCTTGGTTTTATTTTAGCCAATTCTTGATTTTATTTTAGCCAATGTTATCCCATTTCCAGTATCTTTGTTCCCATTTCCAGTATCTTTGCTCTTATCGTGGGGAAGCAGCAACTTCATATTCAAAATGTTGACATCACCTAAGTGGGAAAAGCGAGAGTTGACTTCTGAATTCCATCTTCTCTGTAGAAAGATACTACAGGAAAGGCTGGCCACACCTGCCTAGGTTCACTTAAGTGCTAAGCTTGGGATTGGCATTGAAAGGGTTGAGTAGTCCTGTCTCCCAGTGTGAACTACCTTCGGGAATACCTGTAGGCAAACCTCATGAAGTGTGAGAACTTGGTACTCCATCCACCTAGCTGTGAAGAAATTTGAGAGAGGTAGAACTCCGTCGATTTCACAGGACTACTGGAGTCACCTAGTCTCCAGTCCTTGCTAAGATACCTTCAGAGATAAAGAGAATTTACCAACTCCCCTGGAAGTCCTGGCCATCTTTGGACAATTCTGACAACTTTTTCCTTTTACATCTGCTTTCTCTATGAGATGGATAAGGAAGGAGGAAATCTGTCCCTCAGAAAATAACATTTCCCGTTCCACACTCATTACTGCAGAACTGCTCTGCTCTGATTTCTTGTGTTTCATTAAGTTATTTTATTCATATTTTATGTGCCCAGTGGCAGTGACTAAGGTTAAATAAGCATCTGAAAGAGCATTGTGGTAATTGTACGACTGTTTGGCCAAAGAGGAATTTTTTCCCAAAAAGGTCTTCAGGAATGTAACTTGCAATGGCTCTCTCTAGAGCAAAAAAAATTCATGAAAAGTAATAGTCTTTAATCTTTGTGATCAGATTAGATACTGCTCAGTTTTTAAATATCATGCTTACTGATCACATCTCAATAAAAATTACTTTTAAGATGTCATTAAATGTGATCAATTTTGGAAGGTATTTACTGGAAATGCCTAGAAGAAAAAGTATTGTCCTTATGAAGTTGGTGTTAATTGCCTAGTAAGATGTAATTCATTTATTTAGTGTTTTTAAAATAAAAATGTTAAAATTTTATCTGAAAGATAGTGTTGTTTAATTATTTATTGCCTTTTTTCAGGTGGTATAACCCAAGCATCGTGTATGTTGTTGTGTGCCGTCAAGTTGATTTCAACTCATAGCTACCAATCTCAGCTCTAAGCTCCTGTCCACAGTTCCCCTTCCCCAAGTGGAAAGAATTTGTTACTTTTCTTTCTTGGGCAGAATTTTAGTGGTTTTTGCCAGCATGATGAAGAACCTGTTGTAGATTCACGCTTTTAGACTTCTTTGCATATTTACCAATACATCTGATCTTTCTATTTTTTCCTGAGATTTTTCTTCTTCCTTTGTTAGTAAGGCCTTCTTTCTCTGGGAGTTTTATTAAATCAGAGAGACCTGGTAATCACAAAATCCCCTCTGGCAAGTTGAAGACAGCATTCCCTTAGCCTTTCCCATTTTGTGGGTATTCATTCATTCCTTCCCATTTCATTTAGTATTTCTGTTTGTTTCAGACTGACCCCTATTCTTGGTATTCAGAAGCATTCTCAGGAAAATGTGGTGTTTACACAGTTTATAGCCACCCTGCTTGAAGAATTACATTTAAAGAATGAAGACCTTGAAAGTTTAACCATCATATTTAGAACCGGCTGTTAACAAGAGCGGTGAGTAGGATTGTGTTTTACTTTGGTTTGGTTTTCCATCTGTTGCCTGGGTGGATTCTTTTTTATGTTGGAAATTTTAGAAATCAAGTACAGATTTTGAGATGTCCTCATCTTGGTCAAAGAAAAACATGCTATCCCTCAGTTCTCAGCCACCTCGGTCACTTCCTGCCCACTCTTATTACTTCCTGCCCCATCCTTGTTGCTGTTCCTCCTCTGTAGGCTTCAGCAGTTATTTTTGTTTCTTGCTATCCAGGAAACTTCCCCACTGTTAGCTTCCTACTCATGCCAAGGCCATCCCACATGTCCCATCTCGTAAGTGTCCTCCCAGAAAGTTACAATTTACTTTAGCCCAAGAACTACGGTGGTCCATTGAGAACATCCTCATTCTATTGCCCCCTTCAAAGAAGTCACCTCCTTCCTGCCTAATACCTTAATCATCTCATATGCAGATAAACATGTGAATTTACAAGTCTAGCTTTGTTGAATCCTAGTCCTGCTGCCAGATACTAACCCTCTCCTACTGTCCCAAGTCTTTGCCCCTTTCAGAACTGTCTTTCAGAATGTTCTCTCCCTCTTTCTGCCTTAAGCATAACTCTCCCATCTCTTCTTCCCTTTAATTCTCACTTCATACACTCCCAAGTGTTCAGATAGGCAGATACCAGATTTAATGTTATGACTGAAGGAAGTCAGGCTTACAGATGACAGTCTCTTAGGGAGCATTTTCAGTTTATAAAAACTTGAAATTATTTTTTAAAATATAAAATCAGTACAAGCTTCTTGTAAAAGTAAATGAAATAATGCAGAATTACATATATAATAAAAAAGGAAAATTTCCCCTTCACCTCACTTGGTGTATATCATTGTATATTGATCTTTATCATTTGGATTTTTGTAAAAAATCTTCAAGCAAATCTCTTAAGTATATGGGAAGGATATTTGAGAGAGTGAGGTATTTGGGCAGGTAAGAAAGAATGGCACTACTTTATTGAACTGCTAGAAAGCAGAATATAAATAATCAGCACTGTAACTGCTGCCCAATTTATACCCAGTGTCAGTTTCAAGTGATCTTGTTCCCATCAAGACCTCATAAAACAAAGGGAGGGAGCTTTGGGGAGGAAACTCAGGGCATTCAAAGGCCCTTCTGAGAATTTTATGATGAGGCTGGAGTTGTTTGTTTTATTGAGCTTCAGGTACAGAGGATTTAGTTAATCATAGGCCTCAGTTCACGGTACCCTATCTCCAGTGGTTGAAAGACTTCTTTTCCAAACAGATTGAGAATGAAGAGTGCCTAAGCAGAGGTCTTGCCAAACCTACTTTAATGAATAGATAACCAATTAAGATTCATTTTAATTAGCATATTTAAAACTTGCATGTAAATGCAAGATGGTATTAAAGTGGTTTTAAGGACTTTCAACAGTAGATGTTTTAAGTGGACTTAACAGTTCCCCCTTATCAGTGTTTATTTACATTGTTGATTTGCATAAATAACCAAAGTAAACCTTTTACCCAGTCTTTGTCATTATTATAAGGGCTTCTAGATGAATAAGACCTTATATGATTTTCCATATGAGAAACAGAGATGGTTGTGAGTAGGTGGTTGGATTTTATGTTTGCATGACTTTTGTAAACCATAGTAAGTTCATTTGATTCTAAAGATTTTAATATTTAGTAGACTTTTAAAAATTGAATTATTACTATCTAGTATATGCTTTCAGTTGCAAATAGCAGAAAAAAAATCCAACTCAACTGGATTTTCTTATGATGGTATAGTAGTTATCTTTTGATGCTTAACAAATTACCCCAAAACTTAGTGGCTTAAAACAACAAACATTTATTATATCATAGTTTTTGTGAGTCTTGAACCCTGGGCACAGTTTTAACTGGGGGCCTCTGACTCAGGGTCTCTCAGGAGGTTGCAATTAAGCGATGAGCCTGGGCTGTAATCTCATCCAAAGGCCCAAGTGAAGGAACATCCCCTTCAAACTCATTCACCCACATGGTTGTTGGCAGAATTTAGTTCTTCACTGGCTTTGTCTGGAGACCTCTTTCCAATTACTTGCCACACGGGCCTCTCTGTTGTACACTTCACAACATGGCACGTGGCTTCCCTCAGGGCAAGTAAGTGAGAGAGGGTGCCCAAAATGGAAGTCACAGTCTTTTTGTAATGTAATCTTGGAAATGACATCCCATCACTTTTGCAAGGAGGCAAGAATCATTGGGGATCAACTTAGAGGCTGTCTGTCACAGGTGGCAAACTTGCTACAATAGTTCGCAGCTTTGTATTTAGTATACCACACTGTCTTGGCAAGAGTCTTGAACTCACACTGATTAGGGACACCCTTGAGCCTATCCACATGGCCACAGGAATGCTGTGAGCTAACCCAATCATTTTGGCAAGGATGGGGGAAAGAGAATAGAATTTCCCTATGATACAGACCATTCAAGGCCTATCATTCAAGCTGGACTTGGAGCTGGTTCTGTTCCTCCTAAACCACTATCACAATATAATGGGAGAGAAATGGAATGGATTTGGTAAGACAAACCCAGTGGCCACTATAGCTGGCAAAATATTTTAAATGTTTTTACTCAAACTATCCTTTCTTGCTTCACAGATAGAATCCATGAAGAGAGAACAGAGGATGAACTTCTGTTGTTTGCCATTTCTGGAATCTTGGCTCTGATGATGGTCTATGGTGACTGATAACTAGCTTTTTTCCAAGAAAGACCTTTGCCTCCTTAGGTTTCAGCCTCCTATCCCCCAGTCCCTAACTGCAGAGAATGACTTCTCAGATAGAGGAAAATTATTATTCCAACAAGGATAACCAAGTCCTTCCATCCCTAGCTACAAGAGATAGTATTTTTATTTATTTGAAAATGAAAGTTGAAATCTTAAATTGAAACTTGAATGAATATTCAAGAAAATATAAAGCCCTTTTATTTTTCTGGGTGATTCCCACCATCATGTCAGTTGATCAAAAAATTGAGAAGATTCCCATTTTGGCCCCACAGTCTAAACTCTAGATTCTAAATAGCAAACAGTTAGGTCAATAAATGCAATCTAAGATGAAGCGCTTTGGAAGTCTAGTCATTATTCTTTTAAAGAAACTGACTGTGCTGTAAAATGGTCCAGAGCCAAGTGGTTAACCTCACAAGGCCAAAGCAGGAGTATCCTAGACCTTTCTGAACTCAAGGAAATTAAACAAAAATAATAATAATAATAATAATAATAAACAGAACACCCAGAATGGAAATATTGAGAATGTTCATGCATTGTGAAGAATGTATAACCAATGTCACTGAACAATTCATGTAGAAGTTATTGAACGGGAACCGAAACTGCTGTGTAAACCTTCACTGAAAATACAATAAAATATTATTTTAAAATAATAATAACAACAACAAACCCTGAAATCTGTAGTTTGCTTTCAAGAAAGACGATTGTTAGAATTTAGACTGCTTTTTCAAAATGTATATCAAGCATGCAAGTTAGCTGGCCTCCAGAGATGTGGAGGCAGACATCACATAATTTGGGGAGCTTTACTGGAGTACCAAAAAACAAGATTCAATCAGATACACCCTTGTGGACACTAAAAGAAATGACAGTTGCTAACTGCCAACCATGGAAAAAGGGCCAGGAAGCATTCTGGTGGAGTGGAGAGCTCAGTGGGCAGGGAGATAGGGATATGGTTTCTCTTCTTGGCTCTATCACTATTTGCCTGTGTGGCCAAGTCACCTAAATTCTCTGGACTTCAGTTCTGTGCTCTGTAAAATAAGGAGTTCAGCCAGACAATCTCTATGGGAAAGGACTGTAAAAACTAAAACTCCACACAGACAAAGCTGCTGCTATCTTCTTGTTGGTCTGGGGCCCCAATACCATGATTCTGACTGAATGAAGTTCTCATGACAAAAAAAAAAAAAA